GACTATTTAGTTCCAAGCAGGAAGAATGGAAAATACGGATAGACTGAGAGGAGACTGTGAAGGTCAAATGGAGTATATTAGGACAAGCAAACTGAAGGACTAACGTTATCAAAAACCATGTTAGAGCAGCTCAGAAGGTAAAAGTTGGGTCATGTCATCAATTCTTAACCCAACAAAGATAGATTAATCTATTATTAAAATCTCAAGTGGCACACATAATTCAGTTTTACAATTATATCTGGGTAGATTTTCCTGTGCAGTCTCTCATAATTTTTCTCCAAAATACTAACATAAAGGAAAAAACAAAAGCTGGGTGAATAGTTATTGGCAAGATCTGAGGATTTCCATGTACTACAAACCTATCAATAACATTGTGTGAGGAGAAGGGAACAGGTATTTTACTCATGCTTTGTACATGTGGCTCACAGATAGTAAGAATATGAATTCACTTTCCCACAAAATATGCCTGCTTATTCAGGATCTTGTGATGTATTCCAACCATTAAGATAGACAGATAGACAGACAGATTAAAACTTGACTTTTGTCTCTTCCTTTCCAAGTATTGACAAATGTTTTCTATATAGAGCCAGATAATAAAATTTTAGACTTTATGGGCCACAGGGTATTTCTGCCACTGTTTAACGCTGCCGTCGTCGTGTGGAAACAGCCATAGACAATATGTGATCAAATGGGAATGGCAGTCATCCAATAAAACTTCATTTACAAAATCCGGTAATAGCTTATAGTTTGGTAACCCCCGTTCTACGAAATATCGAAATATCTGGATTTTGTTTTATTTTGTTTTCAGGTAGCCGGAGTAATCTCTCTGTCGCTTAGCATCCTCCAACCACCACGATTGCCAATATCACCGGGACCCTGATTTATTTAATTGTATCTGTTCTTAAGTTACACCTTACTTATTACTGTCTCTGGAAGGCCTTCCCTTACCGCATTGTCAAAATAAGAGTCCTCATTTTATGCCTATTTATCAGCATGAACTTCCCCTTTCATTGCACATACCCCAACACTAATGTTTTTGTTAACTGAACTGTAACTTCCATGAGAACAAGGCTTTTGTCTATCATCTGTCTTCAGCATAGCTCAGTATATGATGATACTCAGTGGATAATTGGCTGAATATAGTTTAATAAAACTGAATAGAGTTGAATTGAAAGACAAGAAAAACCACTTTAAAATTTAATACTTATCTGAAGAAAAACAAAGAGCAATTTTGACATAAACACAAATCAATGATATAATTAAAAATAACTTTAGGAACTATAGAAGTAAAGAACAAAAGTATTATGAAAAGAAGGGTCAAATGACAAAAAGAAATTTTATGTAAGTATACTCTGTAAAATATTGAATAAAAATAATAAAACAGTCTTAAAATATTTAAAGAAAAAGGAAATCTAGAAATAAAACACATCACAGTGTTTTGCCATCAAGCTTATTTTACAGTCTCAAATATCAATATATAATATGTCAGTAAGTACGTATTTTTGAAACAAAAGTTTATAAATTCAAATTTTTATTGCTATCTAATTTTTAGGTGTGAAAGCAATAAATCTTTCCAGATAGCCCAATGTTCATATATGCCAATTTATGTCTCTCTTGAAAAACAATATATTTTATACGATAACAACTGACCAAGTGATGATCCAAAAACAACAGTGTAATGAAAGAAAAAATTAAATTTAAAAATGTCAAATATACAATCAGAAGCAATTAAAAATAGAATTGAGTCTTACTAAATGTGAATTCAAATCAAAATATTTCTAAAAATAGGTTGGTTGCAACATGATTTTATGATAATCTAATAACAATAATCTGGCTCTTATATCTAAACTTTTACATTCACAATCTGGGAATGAACTGAAAAGTGAAAGTAAAAGTTCAATAAATGCCTTGTTTTACCTGAGTGGAATTCAGGAGATATTTTTGAATTTTTATCTTGTTAAAATAACCAGAGATGAATGAGAAAAAGATTTTACAAATTTTAAATAGAGCCATTAAAATCATTGAAAATAACCATTCCTAACCATCAAATCATTTGGGAAGGTTAAAATAAATAAAGTTCACATGGCAAAATATCAAAAATAGAACACAAAAAAATCTAAAATACAAATATTGGTTTCATCAATGAATGTCAATAGCTCTCATGCTGTATTAAAAACAAAACCCAATAAACGCTTTCCCAAAGATGATATACTAGCCAATGAGCATATGAAAAGATGTTCAATATCATTAATCTTCAGGAAAATACAAATCAAAATCACAATGAGGTCCCACTTAACACCCACTAGGGTGGCTATAATAAATTTTTTTAGAAAGGTAATAACAAGTGTTGGCAATTATGTGGGTAAATTGGAAGCCCCATACACTTCCTGCTGGTGAGAATGTAAAATGGTGCATCCACTTTGGAAAACAGTCTGGCAGTTCCTCAAAAAAATTTACCATACATTTACCACTTGACCCAACATTCCCACTCTATGTATATGGACAAGAGAAATGAAAACACATGTCCATGCAAAAACTTGTACACACATGTTCATAGCAGCATTATTCATAAATAGCTAAAAAGTAGAAATAACCTTGATGCCTATCAAGTGAAATGTCATATATACATAGAATGGAATATTATTCAACCATAAAGAGAAATAAAGTGCTAAAAGGTGCTACAATGTGTATGAACCTTGAAAACATAATGCAAAATAAAAGAAAACCAGACACAAAAAGTCACCCATCATTTGATTCCATTTATAAGAAATATCCAGAACAGGCAAATCTATTGAGATAGAGAGGAGATTAGTGATTGCCTAGGGCTGAGGGGGGGCTGTACAGTAACTGGGGGATGATGGCCGATAGGTGCAGGATTTTGTCTCGAGGTAATGAATTGTTCTAAAGTTGTGATGATAGTTGTGCAAATCTGTGAATGTACTAAAATCATTAAATTTTATACTGCAAATGAGTGAATTGTAAGGTATATGAATTACATCTCAATAAAGCTGTTATCAAAAACCATTATAACAATATAAACTATTTTGAAAAAGTAAACCTAAGCTGAAAAGACAAAAAAAAAGATTGAGCAAGGATCAGCAGGCAAAGACATTTTTTTGAACAAATAACTTCAGGTAAAGAAAAATTTAAGAAAAAAGACATTAAGTGAAATAAAACCATTTGATGTTAATGAAGTAGGTAAAAGCCACCATGAAGACATAAAAGTCAGTACCATTTATGTTATGATATAGTGTTAAAATAAATTAATCAAAAATTAATAGAAATATATGAAAATATTCATAGAACCATAATTCTTACAGAAAATTAACTAAGAAAAATACAGTAAATTTCAGAAAAGTCAACATAATAAAGATTTGAATAATATATCTATTACAAAGTACATTTTTAAAAAATCTGTCAAATGCAGCAAAAAAAATCCTAATGAAAACTTTCCAGCATATCCATTTTGAGTTTATTCTGGTGTATTGTGTAAGTTGATGGTCTAGTTTCATTTTTTTGCATGTATCAGTCCAACTCTTCCAACACCATTTAATGAAGAGGCTGTCTTTACTCCACTGTATGCTCATACCCCCTTTGTCAAATACTAATTGGCCATAGAGGCGTGGTTTTATTTCTGGATTATCTACTCTGTTTCATTAAGCTATGTGTCTGTTCTTATGCTAGTACCAGACTGTTTTGATTATAGTTGCCTTGTAGTATAGTTTGATATCAGATAATTGTGATCCCTCCTACTTTGTTCTTCTGCCTCAAGATTGCTGAGGCTATTCAGGGTTTTTTGTGGTTCCATATAAATATTTGAAATATTTGTTCTAGATCTGTGAAATAGGCCATTGGTATTTTTTTTTTTTGTATGAGAAGCTTTATTTGTAATAGACAAAATCTGGAAACTTAAATGCTTAGCAACAGGTGGAAAAATGAGGGTATATCCATACAATGGACTACTCTCAGCAATTAAAAAGGAATGAATTAGTTATGTGTACACAGGGGTAAATCTCCCAATGATAATGAAAGACAAAAAATATACATTGATATAATGTATGAGTCCATTTTTATACAATTCTAAAAAATTCAAACTAATCTATAGTGACAAAGCCAATCAGTAATTGCCTGGGAACAAGAGAAATTGCTTGGAATTATAAAAGAGCACAAGGAAACGTTTGGGGGTGGTGGGTATGATCATAACCTTGAGTAAAGGGGTTTCCTGGGTGTTTACATATGTCGGATGGTGCACATATATCCCCCAACTTTATGTGTAGAGGTGTCCGACTGACAGATGGAACTTGGCCATGGTGGACGTATTTATACCATGGAAACTGGCAAATGCTGCTACAAAATCAGAGCTTTTTCTCAGATAGCTGGTTGTTAAACATCTGCCAGCGCACTGAGAGCTACAACATACGTGAACAACAGCTCACTGAAATTCTTTAAAGAATTCTGTGCAAAAGAATTCTGAGAACCACTAGGTTAGAAACTTGCCTTTGTGAAGGTAGAAAGTAGTACTAAGGAGAAAAACAAAGAGAGACTTTCAGACACTTACTCCTATCAAGGAAATCCCTTTTGTGGAGAAAAACTTGTTGCCTTGACCAAATGCTGCCACGGCCATCCTCCCACGGGGCTCAGTGGTGACACGGTCTTTCCCTAAGGCCAGGGGTTTGGGGTTGATTCTTTCGCTCCTTCTTGAAGGCTGCTACATGGGCTGCCTTCTCCTCTGGCAAACACTGAGGATCCCTCACCTTGCTTCCCACAGCTACTCACAGACCAAAAACGTTTCCTGAAGGAACTGCAGGAAAAAGAGTGTACCAGTTTCCTACATATGGATTCTAATTCCAGCAAAAAGAATAGAGGTGTATGACACAAATACATTTCTATCAGGTGAATCAACTACCAGCATACCCAAATCTGATACTTCCACCAAACATCTTTGAGGCAATTTAAATACAGAATAAGGTTTAGAGCCATCCCGTTTTTCTTCTCCCTTCAATGGCAGCCTGAGTCCTTTCTGACTATTTAATAAGGTGTGGAGAGTACCAGTGTGCTGAGGCTCTTCATTTTATCAGTTTCCAGTTAGAAAAGGATCTCCATGAAAGAATTCAGCAGCGAATTGATGACGTTACAGAAACACATCTTCCTATTTCATGACATACTGGAAACATAAACCTTAGGGCTTTTTCACCTCCACTGTATAAAGGTCTGATCGCTTCTGGCTAAAAATGGGAATTTGCTGCCGTATTTCAGCCACCTTCTTCAGGTCTATGTCTGCATACACGATCGTTTCTTCAGTGCCAGCTTTAGCCAGGACCTCACCCCAAGGACTCACGACAGTGCTGTGTCCCCAGGCAATATAGGAGGCTTTGTCATCCCGGGCAGGAGATGCTGTGGCTACATACACCTGATTGTCAACAGCCCAGCCTCACTGAAGCAACTCCCAGTGAGCTGGTCCAGTAGTCAAATTAAAAGCTCCAGGATATACCAACAGCTGGCAGCCTCTCTGTGCATAGATGTGTGCCAGCTCTGCAAAGCGGATGTCATGCCAGATGCCCAGGCCCACTCTGCAGTAAGGAGTTTCAAAGGTCGAGAAACTATCACCAGGACTCAGTGTTTTAGATTCTTGAAATGTAATTTTCCCAGGAACATCAATGTCAAACAGATGGAGCTTTCTGTGCTTTACCAATAACGTTCCATCAGGCCCAAACACGGGACAAGTGTTATATAATTTCCCAGAATCCTCTTCAGGAATGGAACCTCCAAGGAGATACATGCTGCACTCCTTTGCTACTTCAGAAAGCTTCTGTGTGGATTCACCAGGAATTTTCTCTGCATATTCAGGAAAATAGTTTGTGCCATATGGAGAATTAAAGCATTCCGGCAGAGAAACTATTTTTGCTCCCTGTGAGGCTGCCTTCTGGACAAGGCCACAGGCTCGAGTCAGATTATCTGATTTGATGGAAGAAACTTTAAGTTGGATGAGGGCCAGGCTGAAAGTGGCCATAGCTCTGCCTGGAAGGCTGCTATTGGTATTTTAATATGAATTACATTGACTCTATAGATGGTTTTGGGTAGTATGGACATGTTAATGATGTTAATTCTTCCAATTCATGAACACCATATATACTTCCATTTATTTTTATCTTCCTTCATTCCTTTCTTCAGGGTTCTATAGTTTTCTGAGTACAGGTCTTTTACCTCCTTGGTTAAATTTATTCCTAGGTACTTTATTTTTCTTGTTGCTATAGCAAATTGGATTTAAAGACCTAGAGAAAAACATAGGCAGGAAAATTTCAAATATTCCATGCAGCAATATTTTTGCCAATGTATCTCCTAGGACAAGGAATATAAAGGAAAAAGGAAACAAATGGAACTATATCAAAATAAAAAGCTTCGGCATGGCTAAAGAAAACATCAGTAAAATAAAAAAAGAACTGACTATATAGGAGAACATATTTGCCAATGATGCATCAAATAACGGTTTGATATACAAATTGTATAAAGAACTCATATGACTCAACACCAGGAAGACAAACAATACAATTAAACAATGGGAAAGGATCTGAATAGCCATTTCTCCAAGGAGGACATACAGAGGGCCCACAGATACATGAAAAAACGCTCAACATCACTAGCCATCAGAGAAATGAAAATTAAAACCACAATGAGATATCACCTTACACCTTTCAGAATGGCCATCATTAATAGATCAACAAACAGCAAATGCTGGCAAGGTTGTGGAGAAAAGGGAACCCTAGGGCACTGTTGGTTGGAACACCAACTGATGCAGCCACTGTGGAAAATATTATGAAATTTCCTTAAAAAACTAAAAATGGAACTGCCTTTTAACCCAGCAATTCCACTGCTAGGAACATATCCTAAGAATCCTGAATCACTAATTCAGAAGAACCTATGCACACTTACGTTCATAGAGACACTATTCACAATAGGCAAGTGCTGGAAGCAGCCTAAGTGCCCATCAATAAATGAGCGGATCAAAAAAGTGTGGTACACTCACACAATGGAATACTATGCAGCACAAAGAAAAAAGTAACTCTTACCTCCTGGGACAGCATAGATGGAACTGGAAAATATCACGTTAATTGAAATAAGCTAGCCATGAAAGACAAATACCATATGATATCAACTATAACAGGAATCTAATGAACAAAATAGAACCACAGGCATGGAAACATGGAACAGACCGAAAGGGACCAGAGGGGAAGGGACAGGGGGATAATGGCGGAAAGGAGGAAAAGGGACTAGACAAAGAACATGTGTGAATGACCCATGGACATGGACAGCAGTGTGGGAATGGACTGTGGGAGCGGGAGTGGGATGGTCAGAGGAGAGCAGAGGGGAAAAACTGGGACAACTGTAATAGAATAACAAGAAAAAATTAAAAAGTAAAAAATCTTTACAGCATAAATTGTACAAATTCTCTAATAATATTGGAATAAAACAAAATTAGCAACAAAATTTTAAACAACACCAAACATAGCATTTTGAAAATTAAAAATTATTTTGATGATTATGTCCGAAGGCAGTTCTGCTTCAAATCCTGAAAAATATTATCATTTCATTTCCAAACATATACTTCTTCAAAAAAACATTTTCTAATGGCTCCAGCCCAAAACTCTCTTTTTCCTAGTATCTGGTATTGCTCTCAGTCTAATTTGCATGGTTATTAGTTTAAGAATTTATGGTATTGTTTTTTAATTGATTCATACATGTTCATGCCTTGAGGATAGAAACATTGCAAAATAATTTCTTTATTATCACTACATCTATGTTCCTTTCTGAACATAAAAGCTCTCCAGTAAATGTTTATTAATTGATTTCATTGTGTAGTTAGTAAATTCAGTGAACTGGAAATTAAGGGACAAGAGTCCTTGACCATTATTAGAAAGGATTAGTGATTTTTCACCATGTCATTTTTCCTGCCTAGATTTTAATATCCTCCTTCATTAAATGAGGAAGTATTAAAATATTTCTAAGATTCCTTCCAGTTCTAAAATCATATGACTTAACCAATAGAGAAAGAAAAGACATCCTTCAGTACACTGGAAAATTTCCCTCCATATGCAGTAACACTGGTTTCTTTGAAAGTCAAGGACTCAAACAGATTGTACATTGTTGAGAAGAGAGTCACCCTCAATTACTCATCAATGATGGAATTCTTTGTGGTTTACTCTCAGTAACCCAGTGTTTCCTTACTACCACCCACCCAGGTCCAGGGGGAATATACATGTGTCTGAGTATGTGTGTATATTTGCTTCTCTGACGACATTCCAAGACTAATATAAACACCTTCTAAATTACCCATTACTCTGTGTCACTTCTCTCTTCCATTGGAAAGGGGTAGCCTATATTTACGTTTGAAGTCCTAACACTCTACCTTTTCCATCACCTCTCTCTTTCTTAAAGACGGATTTCTTCATCTCTCCTATATGAAGCCCGCACTTCAAATATTTCTTTAAATGTGGGTATTGGCATAAGCATTCTATATTTATCATTTAATATTATATTAAATAATATCCTTAAGGTAATTCTAATTTGATATAATTTAATATATAATATAATTAACATAGCATATTCAATATAATCACATTATATTAATATTATTGCATGAATAGGGAAAAAAATCAAAGAATGTAAGTATCCTAAGAGACAAATAGTGAGATGGCATTATGCATGATTTTTATATTTTCCTCTTTCTGTTTATAATTTTCTATAGTTTTTAGGGTTATATACAAAATAATTATATGTGCATGCATCCACATACCCACACATACCCTTCAGTTACCTGGAACCAAAAATTGAAGAAACTTTCACACAAATCTTTATTGCTCCACATCTTACTTTAAGAGAAAATTTCTAGGGATACATAAAACAGTTTAGATAAATACATGTGAATTTACTCTAAAAACAAATAATGTATAAATGACTTCAAGTTGTTGACATTAACTCTTAAGTATTTAATAATAGCTGAACTTGTGAGATCTCAAAATATGTTCATTTTCTGCATAGTATACTTATTAAGGCAAGAAAGTAGAATAGTATACTTGAAAAGATTTTCAAATGTGATGAGCAAAATTTTTACAAAATCACAGTTAAATAGGAAATCTATCAGAACACATTCTCTAAACATCCACCAATCAGGCAACTTTTATTTTTCAGGGGCTTGTACAGAAGCTTTCATTGACCATGCTAATTATTCACATTTATAAATTAAATACTAAAGTCCATTCCCTGATTTAAATAGGATATAAATTTAAACTCTTCCCAAGACTTTATATGATTACAAATCCCTTTCCTCTCTTGCTAAACATAAATGAACACATCCAATAAAGCCTATTTTACTGGGTGTGCTTCCATAAAACAGTCACTTTTTATCATATAGTAAAGTCAGAATTTATGCTAAATACTTCACAACTTCCCTAAAGATAAATCCAAGTAAATCAAATATTAAATGATGCAGCAAAATGTATTGTCATAAAAATAAATTGAAACTAAACATGTTAATAACCTCTAATGTTGATAAGTAAATGGCTACGATGTTTACTTTTTACTAGGCAGAGAGCCTAATCCTCTCTCATTCCTGTCAGTTCCTATTACTTACAAAAAGAAACACATTGCGTTTATGAGATGCGGTTCTTTTTCCATTCAGCATATGAAAGCTCCTATTAGTCTATCTCAAAAGATACTGAATTTACCTTTGAATGTTTGATAAGACAAGGATGGACATTCGTTAATAAGAGACTATCAGAGATTATATTATTTTAATTCCAAAAAATGATTCAAACTCAAGCATCTAAAGGTAAAAAATTCTCCAAGTACATAAAATATTTTACTCAGACTTTAAAGTCTTGTTTTTTGATCATTCATTTCCACTAAGGTTTGGGTGGCAGTAAGGAATATGGGTATATTTATTGTGTGGCTGTAACCTCAAAGTTAGCAGCTTAAAATAACCACTTATTAGCTCCAGGCAGATGCAACTGGGTTTTATCCTCAGGGTCTCACAAAGCCAAAAGCAAGGTGTCATTTAGACAGGTTCTTGTCTGGAAACCCATGAAAAATATTTGTTTCCAAGAACATTAAAGTTATTGGCAGTGGGTGTCAGACTGGGTGTCCTTTTCCTAGATGGCTGTCAGCCAGGGCATGGGATGGAGGTACTCAGAGCTCCTAAAAGCTGCCTGCATTCACTGGCATGTCTCTCCTCCATCTCCAAACCAGTACCAGAGCATCAAATCTCTTTGACTTTTCTCCCTCTTACCTTACCAACTGGAAAGCAATTCTCTTACTTTTAAAAGGGTTCTAAATGATAATATGAGGTCTACCTTGATAATCTCCCTATCTCAAGGTCAACTCTGCCATACAACATAACATAATCATGGGAGTGATCTCTACTCATATTCACAGGTTCCGGGAATTAGAATACAGAACCATGGGAGCATTTTTTGATTTTGCCTACCATGCGGGGAACTGAGAAAATTGAGATTAGGAGCTAGTAAGCTGGCTCCAGATATTAAAGTCTATGAACTTCAACCCCAGTTCTCCTACTAAGGGGAGAGGCATTCAGGGACACAGGCTAATGCTCATCCCATATTGGTGTTAAAAAAGGAGTGTCAGGCTTGAACTATTTTTTGCAAATATCCATGATCTTAGAATTCTCTTCTACAGCACAGAGAAAAAAACAACAATGAAAAAGGAAGCAGTGCACAACTGATTAACGGGTCTTATTGGTAACTCTGGATAGAGTTGTCAAAGATCCAAGCATGGGAAAATTAAGGATCTCAGATGAAGAAACCCAGTCCTATAAGCTAACAGAGATCATGGAGGCACTTCTGTGTAACAATAGGTAACTAGAGCCCAAATCAGGGATCTTACTAAAGTAATGAGGGGCCAGGGTAGGGGATGGTTACTGAAGGACTCAATCAGAAAAGAGCACATCAACTGTCCTGGGGCCAGGAGCCCAGGCATCCAAATTCAGAGCAGAATTTGCCTCAAACCT